AAAAAGCGAACGAAGTGATAAGGTGGTGAGTACACAAGTAAGGAACTTGAAGAATATTTTATAAACATGGTATAAATCACTAGCTACTGACCGTTTTCCGCACAAAATGGAGTCAGTGAATGCAAAATAGGTCTTTGATGGAGATGACAACGTCTTTTAGCTGACTCAGGTCAACCTCACAGATACTGGCCAAAGCAGTGCTGACTGCATATTATTTACAGAATTCCGGGTTCAAAGCCCATTTTAGTTAAAAAAATAAGCACCTATAAGCACTTTTCAAGCACATTTTAAGGAAAAAAAATAAGCACCTGTCTAATTACATTATACACAACTGCATAACCTTAAAAGAAAAATTAGACTTGTAATTTAAAATATGAGCAATGCAATATTTATTACGAGAATGAGCATTACTTCAACAATGGAAAACAATTAACTTTTTTTTAAAAAAAATTAAATGACATTTCAATTTACAGAGAAAGAAAAAAAAAACTATGCAGAACTAAACTATATTACAAAATTTAATGATGATATTTCAGTTGAAAATATGGAAAATAAATAATAATAAGCCATATTAACTGTATTCGTTTGGCACCTAATAATAAATACAATTTATTTTTCCACTCATATTAATATTTAAATAATTTAACTAATCAAAATTCTGAACATTTTCTAAATTTTCATTGCGTAACAGTTTTCCCTTAACATATATCCCAAGCAAAGTAATTTAAGTAAAAAAGAGGCACATTTCTGAAATCAGAAGACGGGAAATTGCTTCATTCAGTCATCCTTTAACAGTAAAAGCTTAACTAACCCGCATACTCGGAAATTTCCGAATAGTAACTGGAAAAAGAGGAGTGGGGGAGATTGTAGCCGTTCTTTAGATTTAAATTTAGGCTAAATAAATGATTTTGACATTTCGATATGTGCATCATATAAAAACCAACGGAACTGAGAAATATTCTGCTTAGAAAGCACAGTAAAACTCTTTTAAGTGTTCATAGACAAATCTCAGACTGAACATCAAAATTAATTATCAATGCAAAATACCGCAAACGTTATTGCGCAATACGTGCAGCGTAATTCTTCCATATGTGATATTACGCAATCGGAATCAACACCTGCCGGTATTCGGAGAATAAAAAACTAAATAAAGGAAAAGAAAGAGGTGTTTCTGATTCTAATTTTAAACAGACTGTATTAAATTTCGGGAATAGAATCAATCTTCGCTTGGGTTGGGTAGACCGCAAAAAATTTTAGTCCTATTCAATCCAGATTGGACAGTGACAAAAAAAAAAAAAAAAAAAAAGTCCGCTGCTTCAATATTAGAGATTTTTCGGAGAAACTCCAACCTCCGTACTGTATAATGTATTGGCAAAGAAAATGAAATTATTTTGACTATTCGATTACTTTCCTTTTATTTAAGCCATTCCGAATATTATTCCTTAGAAAGCTAATCTGTGTAAAAACACACCCATTTTTGGAAGTTTATCTATACTTCAGCAGTTACTGCAACTATATAAATATTCATACATATGCTCATAATATAAGCATATCGATCATAATAAACACGAATATGAACTGACCACGCGCAACGAGAATGCAAATTATTAAAATCTTGATAGAAATTCAAACGTGTGTAGTATTGGGTGGGAGGAAAAGAATACCGAATGTACCGGAATTTTCTACCGTTTTCGCAATTCTTTGATCAATAGAACGACGTGCACCTGTCTGTACTCTTGCGTGTACCATAGGTTACATTAATGCAGAGGGAGGGGGAAAAGCAATTTCCGGGAGTATGATTCACCATCTGACGTTTCATATAAGGAAGAAAAGTTGATTTAGTTTCGTTTACGTACGGGGAAAATATGCGCGTTCATTTAAAACAAAGGATTAAAAAAAGCAGTAAAAAAAAAGGGCTTTAAAGAAAAAGTAAGCACCTATAAGGGCCTTTATATTTTATTTTCATATTATAAGGACTTATAAGCACTTGTAAGGACCGCTACGAACCCTGAGAATCGCATGCCTACAAAACCAAATGCAAAAACTCCATACGAATTATGGAATAACAAGAAGCCCAACCTCTCTCACCTGAGGACTTTTTGGGTGCAAGGCTTTTGCTTACATCCATAAATCTAAAAGAGGTAAATTGGATGATACTGCTATAGAAGGAATACTCGTCGGCTACGACAGCAGAAGTAAAGGCTACAGAATTTTAATTTCTGAAGACAAAATTGTAATAAGTCGATCTGTACGATTTATTGAAGACACTGGAACTGAGGAGCCTGTAAGCATCTATTTAAACCAGGATGAAGAAAATCCTAAGGAAGAAAGCTCAGAATGGGAAGAAATAAAAAGAGTGAAGAACACCAAAGAGGGAAGAAATATCAGAACACAAAGAAGAACCTTTTGGAACTCAGAAGATCGAACAGAGACTCACAAAAAGGTAAACCTCCTGATCGCTACAGATTCCATGCCAAAATATCCAATATCTCCTCCGAATCACAAAACTTGGAAGGAAATTCAAAGTTTTGGAAGAAAATGAAAAAAGAAAATGGATAACAGCTGTTTGAGAAGAAATTAATTCACTAGAAGAAAACAACACTTGGGAATTAGTTGATTTACCAAAAGGAAGAAAAGCAATAGGATGCAAATGGTCTTTCAAAACAAAGCTCAATGCAGAAGGAAAAATTGAAAGATACAAAGCCAGATTAGTCGCAAAAGGATTTAGCCAGAAGTTTGGATCTGACTATGATGAAACATTTGCTCCTGTAGTAAAATACACAATGCTACGAGCCTTCCTAAGTGCAGCTTCGTATAAGAACATGTCTGTCAGGCATATCGATGTCAAAACAGCTTCCCTTCATGGAGAACTAGAAGAATAAATTTACATGACTCAACCCAAAGGATACTCAAAAGCTGGAAATGAAAATAAAGTTTGCAAGCTGAAGAAATCTATATATGGTTTAAAACAAGCTGCTAGAACTTGGAATCTGAAAATTGGAAAAATACTTTTAAACATGTCATTTAAACAAAGTAAAGCAGACCCATGCTTGTTTTACAAAATCAATAGAAAATTCACGTATATAATATTATATGTAGATATGCTTGTAGGAAGTGAAAGAGAAGAAGATGTAATGGAAACAATCTAACAATTGAACGCTAAATTTGAAATCAAAAACCTAGGATAAGTCACCTACTACCTCGGCATAAACATTGAAAGATTTAAGGATGGACTTTTGCCATAAACCCAAAGAATAAAATCGAAGAAATAGTTCAAAAGTTTGGACTTCAGAACGAAAAATCAACATATACGCCAATGGAAACAAACTACTGCAAACTAGAAGCTGAAGATGATCTTCTAGAGGATAATACATTATATAGACTAGCAGTAGGGGCATTATTATATATTGCAACAATCAGCAGATCAGATATAGCATGTGCAGTCAATCTACTGAGTAGAAGAAACGAAAAACCTCGGAACACAGATTGGAATGCTGTCAAGATAGTCATTCGATACTTGCACACAACTAAAGATTTTAAGTTGGTCTTTAACAAAATTCAAGAACCTATACTAACTGCATATTCGGATGCAGATTGGGCAAATGACAGAACAACAAGAAAATCCATTAGCGGATACATATTCAAACTAGGAAATAACTGCATTTCATGGAGCAGCAAAAGGCAAAACTGCACTGCACTATCTTCAACTGAAGCAGAATATATTGCAGCAGCTAATACAGCACAAGAAGCACAATGACAGTTAAATTTGCTTAAAGATCTAGGACTAAAACAAAATCTGCCGATTACTCTCTATGAAGATAACAAATCATGCATCAAACTATCACAAATGGAAAAAAATAAGCGTAAAGAAGAACAAAGCATATAAACGTGAAATACCACTACTTGCCTGAACTTCACAAAATGGGATCCTCAGCCTAGACTAATGCAGAAGCTCCGACATGTTTGCGGATCTACTCACCAAACCACTAGGCAAGCCTGTGTTCGAGAAACTTCGAGAATCGCTGCAAATGGCAGTCCTGCCCATCAAGTAGGGTGTTGGTATGCATATAGTGATGGACTGTTGCCAATAGCACAATAAACTGTATGAACTGGAAACCTGAAAGTATGAAACTGTATGAACTGTAAAATATATGAAAAAGAGTTAATTGTGTAACACACTTATTCTTTACACTTACTTTTTCTCACTCCTTCAGGAAACGACAGTGATATGACACTCTCTATAATATAACTCCTTTTTCAATGTATATATTTGGAACACTAATGAACTTTTATCTATTTTTCATGTATTAATAAAGAGTGTGATTTGTGATCTTACAATTTCCGTCTACACCTATTTTGGATTACAAGTTAATTAGGTATGATCTCGCTTGATGCTGCGCTGGATACAAGGTAAGAAGAATCATTTTGCTCTCTATTTTTATTAATTTGTTGTGAAATTTCGAATACAACAAATCTATTATGCAGATTGGTAACCACCATTATTCACAATGATCATTTTAATTATAATCAGCTCCATAGAAGACTAGAATTGTCTGGAATGTCTTAGACAAAGTTTATTATACATTAAGCTCCACATGATCAATGTATACAAGTGTTATTAACAAGTGTCTTGAGTTCAGGTCCCACCACTGGTAGTGCATTTTTTTGACTCATACTATTAATTCTTTTAATGGTGCTTCATTTTGAAAGAAACTTCAAGGTGAAAATTATATATATATATATATATATATATAAAAGCGAAACAAAAAATAAATATAACTTGGTATGAAAATTTTGCTGTATCACATTTAGTTTTCCAGTTTTTTATAAAATTTTTATTAAAATTACAATTGGCATTTCTCTGTTAGCTCAAAATTATCTTTGATAAGCTGCCAGTAAAGTGCATTATTGTTTCATGCATGCTGAAATCTACATGATTCATATCAGGATTAGCTAAAAAAAACAAATGTTGTTTGTTTAAAAACAAATGTTTACAAATGTTGAAGAACTCAGCTTTTATTCTTTAAAAATAAAAACACTTTCCAACAAAAGCTTAAACTGAGATAAGTCATCTTTTATTTAATGGCATTTGACCACAAAACACTTAAGTTTTAATGAGAAACAATATCTTATCAACTGTAAATATATTTGCGGCTGTATAAGATAAGAAAAAATAAATGAAAACCTGGTTTTAAATACATCTTTTTATTACATCATTACTTGAGTCCCTCCCTTAAAAAGATGACAACTATTGCATGTCTTGGCATAGTCCATTTAACAAGTACTTTTTAATCGATTTTAATAGATAATATTTCTTCACATAATTAATAATACTAATGAAAAAGCAGTGTTACCAATGAACACTGTTTTATCAATTGTGAATAAATTTTTGAGAAAGTACTATACATTAGAACAAAAATATTAAAATTAGTTTTAATTTTCTCCGAATTATCTTTTTGTAAACATTCAATCAAATGAAATAACAATATACCCCGATAAAAAGCATCCAACAGAGAAATTTGAACTGAAGATACTTATTTCTGAAAGGTACATATATTCTGACTTCACAAATAGTTACACTGAGGTTAGTAATTTGTTACCAATATTTCCTCTAGATTATTTCATTATGGATACAGTTACTTAATGCATACAAAATATGAATCAATAATGCCATGAAGACATACTTCATACTATTTTAGATGCCATATTTGTGAATAGTTGGTATTTGAAGTTAATTTTTTGAAGATAAATAATTATACAAGTATTTTTAAATGCTGATAAGTCAATAAGATTGATGGCTGTTTTTCTCATGTTGTTTGAAAGTCAAATGTAAATGGAGAAGTTTTTACTAATGCCTCCTTTCAATATGCAATAATTAAACATGTAGGCTGAGTGATGTTTAAAAAATAAAAATAAAAATAAAATAATCAGGAGGGGGAAAACTCTCGAAAGAAACAGCTCCTTTTCTTCTTTTTTCCCGTACATTAAAAAATACCAGAAACATAATTTTCTTAGTTAATGCTTGTTCTCCCTCTCCATCATTTCTTTCAACATGCAAGAGCTAAGCCAACTTACTTACAACTGCAATTAAACACAGTGTAATAATTACTACCACAATTACACACAGTATAATAACACAACAATTAAAACACTACAGATTCGTGTTATGCCAAGTCATATAAAATTTACTTAACATTAATTAAGATAGCAAATACATATCAAATAATGTTTATCTAGTAATGTTTCATGAACCCTGAATGCATTATGGAGGGTTACTAAAGTTCATACATTGAAAGTATTTTAAAAGCAAAAAGGCTTTTGAGCAGGGCACTACATCATTATGATGTATAATTGTGACAAAAAAACTTATTAAACAAAATGCAAGTGTTTTCTTTTAAATCAGCAATACAATGAACATAGGCAAAAACTAGTCAAATGGTGAAATTCAACAAAACATTAAAAAATATATATTTTAAATGGAAATCCATTAATTTTAAATGATAGTTCAGATGCAATATTTCACAAATGAATTATAAGATAAATATTTTTTTTTTTTTTTTTTTTTTTTTTTTTTTTTAGAAAAGGTGACTAAAATCATCATGCAAAATAATTTCGAAATTACAATGACAGTGGGAAGGGAAGGTGCATTTTTAGATTTTCACAACATATACAGCTCAGTTAGAACAAATCTTAATATATACACAGCACCTAAAATGTTTATATTTGAGAAGGACTACATCCTTCTAACATTATTTGGACAACCGCTATCTGACCTCATTTTCCATTTCAAAATGAAATGTACAAATCTGGCTCACATGAATTTTCATTTCTGTATTAAAAAAACAAAATGTTTTCATATTTCTAACCAGACATTTTTAAAGTAAAGCAACACGATACAACAAGAGTCAAATTTTCACAGTGCTTTAGCAATTACTTGAAACAAATCCTAATATTTACAAAAACAAAAAATAAGAACAAAAAGTGCAAGTTATTTTGTACATAAAGGGAAAAAATGGTGAATTAATTAATTAATAATATTAAAAAACAAATATTAGATGAAAAATTTGATAAATGAAAATAAATACTGAAAAGAATTCTCAGAGACTTCTCTAAATTAAATGTTGCCAGTCATGCAACATATAATCTGGAAGCTTTTATTAAGAAAATTCAATTAATACTTATAATCAGAATTCTAATTATGAGAAGATAATAAAGAATCTCAATTCTTTTAAATGCAGAAAAGAATACTTTCATACACAAGAAGGGAAATTACAAAATTGCTTTTTTTTTTTTTTAATTTGTATGTTAGAATAACAGGATACAAAATCCAGTACTGTTTATTAAATGTTACTTCGAAAAATGTACTAAGGAAAAAAAAATAGTATAGCATTTCATAGACATATAAAATTTTATAAAAATTCTCAGGAATATTTTGTTAAAAATATTTCTAAAGATTTAAAACGAAAGAAAAATTATCAAAATTATATTAATTTCTATTCTTAACTGACAAGTACAAACTTTCAAGCAATATAATAATTTTATGAATAAACAAATTACACAAGTGGCACATTTCAATATTTAAGATAGCAGAATACTATGTAATAGTCAGTTACAGTATTATACACCTTCTAATCTTTCTGTGTGGTTTCTTTGGTCCATTATTTATTTTACTTTCAGTAACTTTTCGATTCTGAATTTCCCGCATAAGGTCAAAAAACACCTATTGAAAAAGAATGAGAAAATTCAGAAAAAGTTTCAATTCAGTCTAATTATTTAAAAGATACAAAAAACATGGAAAAATAAAATCATTAGTTTTTATAGTGTTGCAAAAGACAGTTTCTGATGGCATAATAGAGCCCAGTGTTTTTAGATATTCTTTTTCACAAACGAGCAAGTGCAACCCAAAAAAGTAAAATTTTGCAATAACATCAACAAAATCTATGGAAATGTAATACAGTCAAAAGTCGTTAATTTGGACACCCATAATCCGGAATGATCTATAATCCGGACCTCAAAGCTACAAACTTTAAACGTCGCTTTTACGGCTGTGAATATGCGTGTACGCATATGCGTAATACATTTACGCTTGCGCATTTAATGTATAACGGACAGTATAAGCTAAGCTAAAATTATCTAATTCAGTTAATGTTGTAGACTGAGTTGTTCCTGAATCTTCGAATTGGATCCGGCTTACTATTTTTTGCAGACTGTTAGAGCAATTTTATAACAGTAAGCTTGAACTTTCGATTATGTCAAATAGAATTTCCAATGATGTACTATTTACTAATATGTAAAGGATCTACAAAGCGAAAGTATGTTCGAAGTCCATTAAACAAAAAGTGGAATTGCTGCAAAAAATGGATAAAGGCATATCCTTTTATTCTCTCAACCATTCCGAAATCTGTTTATCAATTTCACGCTGCTCTGCGGCCCGGGGGGGGGGGACGCCGAAACGCCGCGTGCAATGAATTGGAAGTTAATCTGTCAGCACTATCCTTATCTTCAGGGCAGATGTTTTTATTTTATTTCCCTTATAATTCCTTACTAAATGTAGTATTTCATCTCGATGTACTCCGTCTTTGATATGATTTAAATCATATTCCTCGTCATTATAATTCGCTTTCGATAAAGAAGAAAGTGATACAGAGGTTATTGAAAACGAAAAAATTTCGATTGACAAATAAAGTCGGTATTCTCGACACAGCAATTATAGGACTTTAACAGCGGAACTTTGTAACTGAAGAAGAAATTATGTCTGTTTATAGAATTATAGATAAAGTATTATCACATAAAACGAAGCAACTTAAACAACTTACATTAAAAGAAATGTTTAATAAAGTAAACAAATAAATATTAAGCTTTTTTTTTTTTTTTTTTTTTTTTTTTTTTTGTAAATTTTGATACCCTTTAGATCATAATTTTCTTTATTTTATAAATTACAGTTTCATATTTTTAATTTTATAATTTCTGCATGCCATCTTACCAGATTTAAACTGATGATCTATAATCCGGAATTGCCGAAGTCCCAACGAGTCCGGATTAACGACTTTTGACTGTATTTAACTACAAGTAATACATAAGCGAAAATTTTCAAACAGCAAAAAAAAAAAAAAAAAAAAAAAAAAAAAAAAAAAAAAAATTATTCTATCTAAGAGATTGTATGCATCCTTTAGAGCAGTGGTTTTCATCCACTTTTATTTCCTCCTACGTATAAAGTCTCCTACGTAAGTAAAGAAGTATTGCATTCGCAAAAAATTTCAGTTATCAGATTTTTACAAAAATATCCATTTCAACTCTCCTCTCCTGCATGATGTCTCTATGTACAGAATAAAAAATTCTTTATTCCCAGCTTAAAAATTATTAGCTAAAGAAATTTTGTATATGGGATTGCTATAACATCTACTTCTGTACCCAATTACAGAAACTTTTTTTTTAAAACTTTTTTCTAACCTAACTTAAAAAAAAAAAAAAAAAAAAAAAAGAAAAGAAAAAAAGAAAAAAAAGGTTGATTCAAAAATTGAATGTGATATTAAATTAAAAAAAATCATAGTTTTTGATGTTAAAATAATTAGAGCAAATAAGTTTAAATAAAGTGCATCAAAAATATTTATAATTTAATAGGCCATAAAAAGGAAGCCATGTGGTGTACACATCAGATTTTTTTGCCCCAGGCACCCCTTTCACTACTGCTAGACATTCATTCCCCGCCTTTCCAAAATTAAAAAAAATATATAAACATTTATTTAAATTGAGATTATTTTTTTAAGTCTCTCATAAATTAAACAAGAAAAAGTATAGAAAATATTGCTAAATACCAAAACAAAATAGAAAATGAATAAAAGTAGTTTATATTCATAAACTAAAACTAAAAATTTACCAAGTAAATAAAGTCTGACTGCATTCCCCCACTGGTTAAGAGTCCGTGTTTAGAAGAAAACCAGGGCATCTAAACTAAACTCAGTGGCGCAACAGCTGTAGTGGGCCACGGCCTGTAGTGCAATTTTTCTGTTTTCTTGACCTTTGTGCCCCGGAGTGCATCAGCATATGCACTGAGCAAATGGTCAGCTTGGTCACAGGACCCCCAGTGTTTAGTTGCCAAGCAAACTTGGTATTCATTTTATTGACCCACTTAAGGAATGAAAGCCCAGCCTGGGGATCAAACCCCAGACTTGTGGAGAGAGAGAGAGACACGAGAAGAAAATGTGTTTATATGCAATATCAACACAAAGTGCTTCTTTGTAGCAATACAGTATTCACAATAAATGTTCAAAATTGCAACTCTCAGCAGCAAGTAATACATGTTTGGTAACGTTGCAGAAGGGATTGACGAAGATTTTGAAAGACAGGCATTTTGCGCACACTTGCAGCTGCAATGGATAGTCGTGCAAGGAGGTCCTCCAGTGAGTCAACGGGAGTCTCGGAAATGATGCTCTTCAGATGGCCCCATAAAAAAATAAATAAATAAATAAAAAATTCAAGCTGGATAAATCTGGCGAATGGGGTGACCATTAAACGGGTCCACTTTAGAATCAAATCCATTGAATGGTTTGCACCCATACAATTCAATGGTATGGGTGCAAACCATTTTTATGCAATACTCTCCAAATGGTGGAATGACTCGGCTGCAGATGACATGCAATAGTTCTTGTACTTGTCCGAGGTGATTCATGCACAATGTTCAAGATGGATTCTTCAATGCGAGGTTGTCGTTCACTTCTTCTTCCACTCCTAGTGTCAGAGGTGGCTTCAAATGACCCGTTTTCACACAGAGACTGAAGCAATCTCTCGAACATTGTATACTTCGGCATATGCCTGTTTGGAAACTGTTCCTGGTACAACCGTAGCGCTGCTCTGCCGTTCCCATTAGCAGTACCATACATGAGATGCATGTCAGCTTTATCCCTGTGAGTAAACTCGCCCATCACACTCGACATCAGAGTCGCGAATGATCCTCTGATGCATCGGATCGTGATTTGTCCGACTCACTGCTGCCCTCTACCACTGCATTGCCATCCAATCATAGCTGTAGTTCCTATTACTGTTCCTATTAATGTCCCCTTTTTTGAACATTTATTGTGAATACTGTATTGCTGCAAAGAAGCGCTTTGCGTGGATTTTGTACATAAACACATTTTCCTCTCGTGTGATTTTTTTGTGTTCCTGCCTTAACCCGTCACTTTTAGACCCTACATTCCTATACAAAAAATGCATGTTTTAGCATGCTCCACCACCCCTCCACGTTTGTCCCATGATCTATGAAACACTCTGTACAGTTGCTGCTTTCGTACGCAATTATTGAAGTTTGAAATGATTTTTTGTACTTTATTGTATTTTCTACCTTGCATAATTTTTAACACTCATATATACATATGTATGTCTCTCTCTATATATTGACATAATATATATACACACAACCCTGAGATTTTGTGCCATGATTTACTTTTATACTTTTCTTAAAACAGATATTTCGGCCTCAGTTACGTAACTTTGATAATTTTTTGGAGCTCGGAACATTTCGTATTAAGAATCAGTTTTTAATTTTCTTTACTGCAAGATATTTTGCACAATAAGACAAAAAATACTAATGCAAGTTTCCTTCTTGAAGCGCTCGTATAAAAATTTAAATATTGTAATTTTTTAATAAACATTTTAATTAACTACCATAACCTACTAAACGAAATTATCGTTACTGCTGTGTATTACACGCTAATACACAGCAGTAACATTTGGCGACAGCATCCTTTTATTTGAAAATGAATTTGATTTTAAAGTGGTATGGATACAAAATTTAAGATCAAGTCTAACACATTCAATTGCATCATAATGAGATTATTCTCGTGGTATTTCACATAACTCCAAGAATATATTTAGTGCTTATACATAAGTTGTTCTCAATCACAAGCCTATTTTAAATACCAAATTCAAGATATGAATATGAATTAGCTTGCATGCATTATTTTACAAAATTCTGTTCAGAGCTTCTAGTAAAGTATCACTTCTGGTTTATCCACTTCAACCAAAATCTAATACAGTCAAAAGTCTTTAATCCGAACGTCCATAATCCGGAATGATCTATAATCTGGACCTCAAAGCTAAACACTTTTTATGCATGCGCATATGCGTTTACGCATGCACATAATATGTTTACGCATACACATAATACCTTTATGCATGCGCGTTTAATGTATAACGGACGGTATAAGATAAGCTAAAATTATCTAATTATCTATTTCAGTTAATGCTGCAGATTGTGTTGTTTCTTAATCTTCAAATTGGATCCGGCTTATTATTTTTTGCAGACTGTTAGAGCAATTTTATAAAAGTAAACTTGAACTTTCAATTATGTCAAAAAGAGTTTCCGATTCTGGAGCTGGCAAAGGATCTACAAAGTGAAAGCATGTTTCAATGTCCATCAAACAAAAAGTGGAAACAAAAGTGGAGGGTGATGGTGCAGCATGCAATGAACTGGAAGTTGATCTGTCAGCACTATCCTTATCTTCAGGGCAGATGTTTTTATTTTATTCAGCTTAGAATTCCTTACTAAATGTAGCATTTCATCTCGATGTACTCTGTCTTTGACATGATTTAAATCAAATTCCTTGTCATTATAAATATCACGAATACACATCAAATAGTTTTCTGGTTGCAATTTTCTAATTTCAACTATGCGTAATGTATGCTTTACGCAAAAAAGAAATGTTTAATAAAATAAACAAATAAATATTAAGCTTTCTTTTGTAAATTTTGATACCCTTTGATAATAATTGCTCTCTATTTCATAAATTACGGTTTGATATTTTTAATTTTATAATTTCTGCATGCCATCTTACCAGATTAAATTGATGATTTATAAGCCAGAAAAACTGATAATCCGGAATCGCCGAACTCCCGACGAGTCCGGATTAAAGACTTTTGACTGTATGTTGTTTCTATTAATATAAAAGTCTTAAATACTAAAACTGAAAAATTTTGGATTACGAAAAACTGTACTGAAATATAATCCAAAATTTTTTACAGTTTACAGTTTTTCATTAAAAACTGTTATGGGCTTCAATAAAAGTAGCACTTCATGTTCTCCCTTAACCCCTTAATGTACCAATAAGGCCATCTTTTTAAAGTAGCACTTCCATTTGTCCAATTTTACCACAAATCAAACATATCGCTATGAATATTTATTTAAATATAAATACTTTCTAAAGACAGGAATAAAAATAGTTACCTTATCTACATTGCTTCTTGTTTTGGCTGAAGTTTCAACATAAGGCACATTCCATTGTCGAGCTCTGCTTTCAGCTTCTTCTACAGATACTTGTCTTTTATCTTCTAAATCGGCCTTATTGCCAACTAATAAGAATGGTATATTATCATCATCTTTGACACGTAAAATCTGTTCCCTGAAGCAGAAATGAATAGTTTTGAGACTATTGTTAAGTGAATAAAATATTTAAAAAACATTATGATAAATTGCACAAAACATTCTTTAGGTCACAATGTAGCCTTTATACTTGCAGTCTATGATATACCCCCATGTAGTAGCCTAAAAAGTACATTTCTTTTTAAATAAATAACATGTTAAAAATCAATTAAAATTTGTTCCGACAGATTAGAAATAAAGAAAACACTAACTAGGTAAAACTTCATAACTAATATAACTGTGGTACCTAGTGTGGTACTAATATAACTGTGGTACACAAATTGGAGCATTTAAAACCAGTACTTGGATATTAAAAGGTATCCCACTGCCAATAAATAAAACACGACTTTGCTGATATGCTGATCGTACATTAAAAAACATTTACTTTTTATATTTTAAACATTAATTAAATGGACTTGTCAATTTATAATTAATGCTCTATTCGGTTCAGTTTAAATTAGAGAATTATTAGGAATTAGCGAAATACTTTAAATAGTACTTGACTTTTTTGAACATTTCTGAAAGGGAATAAAATAAGTTTTTTTTAAGTATTATTTAAAACTTGTAACTGAGTTATTATAAAATGTAAGGGGAATAATTCTTTTAATTATACTTATCAGATTTTTTTTACCCTTCATTTCAACAATACATATTCCAAAACTCTTTATTACGTTCTTAAGTGCGCATCTCATAGCATTTGCTTTACAATACCTTTTAAACAGATTGCTTTCCAATACGAACAAATTCTTGCTTAATAGTTTTATAATGCATTTGTCAACAGGATTTCAATTTATGTTTACAATTCAATATTAAGGTTATTATATATTTAGATAACATTATAATCATTATAAATTAGATACATTTAATAATTAGATTTCTTCACAGTACTTTCACAGTTGTTTATGAGTGAATAAATTCTTCATTTCAAATACATTTATAAATAATTTAATGACCTGCGTACGTTAAGAAGCCAGCATAAAACTCGAATTTCCGAGAAAAAAAGACTTGCGTGGGAAACATTTAACAATCTGGAATCAATAAGTAAGTTTTAGTAATAGATTTTTCAGAACTTGTGCAATTCTCTGAAGTTAAAACAGTTAAATGTGTACATGAAAGAAGAATGTGTGTGTAGGGGGGGTTAAGCACTTTAATAACAGATGTTTCTTGCACTATTTTGTTAATTTGTTATTATTTTAGGTAATTTTTAGGGTGTCATTATGGATGTTTCTTGAGTTTTGTCAAATTGTTGCTGTTTTAATTTATTTTCAGTGTAGTACCATTTTTTAAAATGGCTATTGTTTTCCACATCTGAGTTAGGCAAAAAATTAGTCAGCAATAACTGAACTTTTCAGGAGGTTCGCATAGATAATCAGAGAGTACAAATTATATACAAATATTAACTGATTAAACATTGGTTGATACTGCACAAAAAAAGTCTATGTTATGACAATTTAGATCAAATAAAATTTTGTATGCAAAATTTTGTTGAAAATCACTTCAGGTATGGGGAATTTACTCGCATAATTTACGATGCATTAAATTGATAAATTTTACGTATTATTAATTATACTTATTAAACATTTTCTTTGGCAAAAGCTAAAAATAAAAAATAAATATATAAAAAGGGAGGGGGGAAGTTGACACCTCTTTAAAGGAAATTTTACTCCATAAACATTAAAAATATTACACATATATACACCATGTACATCGTGGAATTATGATAATAGCTGATGACAATATTTGAGTCGCATCACTTTTACAGTGCAGCTTCTGTCTTAAACTGCAACTGTAATCAAGAACCAGCATATTACATTGACTGTATGCACCCACATCTGCCTATTTAAATACTGGCAAACGACTTACAGATAAATGTGATTGTTTTATGGCCTTATCAGACTAGGTAACAATTTTAGCCATGGCACATACACTGCAACTTTCTAAAAAAAACCTGTTTACTGTGTATCTACTGCAAAGACTTATATATAATACCAATGCACAACATTTTACAAACAAATGTTAGCCCAGCGATAATAGATTTTTACTTCATATTTGAAACCTTTCAATTATTTAAGAAGATACTCTATTTAGAAAAACTGTGTCAAACTGTAAGACTTTTTTTAATCAATCAAGCATATGAAATGCATAATTACCTTCCTTCTCCCTGAGAGAAAGCAAATTTCAGTTCAAAGATATTTCTCCAACAAAGAAATATTTTTGTTCGTTGTGCATTTATTTTTTTATGTGTTATACTTAATTTATTAAAAGAGTTTATAGCTAAACAATTTTAAAAAAAGGTGTCGTTGACTAAATTAACCATCTGAGTTGCACACGTTTTGAATTTTTTTATGAAGAGCTGTATTTAAGCATTATTTATTAGCTGAATTTGTAAAATTAGTTACAGTTAAGTCTCTGTTTTTACAAACTTTTATTCATTAAGTTAAGATTTATATAAATAACAAAAACAAAATTTATACTCTGAATTTATAAATTAAATGGCCAAACCATTACAAACAAATCAGCTAAATATTCATATACCAAATAAACTGTCAGTCACCTGAACTCAGAAGTGGCAGAAAAGCTATCATGTTCTGTGATAGAAAACACACACAAGAAGCCTTCTCCAGATCTAAAGTAGTTATCTCTTATGGCTGCATAGTCTTCTTGACCAGCTGTGTCCAGAATATCAATCTGAACTTCCTCACCATCCAGCATAACTTTTTTTCGATATGAATCAGCTTTTGTTGGTTCATAATCTTCCACAAACTAGCATAAAAGAACATTTTTATTTTACAGGAAAGAAAAATTTCCACACTTCAAATAAATTATTAATACACAGAGATTTTTTTTTAAATATCTGAGTGAAGAAAACATGTTAGTTTAAGTATTAAAGAAATGAAAAAAAATGAAAGAATATAATTCCCTCAGTCCACCCTCACTATTTTAGAACAATAAATACATATGGATTGTCCGAAAATTGTGAATAATGAAATGCATTATGAAAGTTAATACTTAATGAAAGAAAGTAGTAGAAAATGAAATTTATGAAAAATATTTATGTTCTAAGTACCTGATATTCTGTTTTTCAAGATTACATAATGGCAAAGCAATCCTTGTGGCTTTTGGTGAGATGAACTTATGGAGAATGTTTTTAAGGGTGGTTTGGTTTAGTTTATTATGGCAAAGCACACTAAGCTTTCTGCCTAAGGTGAGAGATGCGTTTGGGGAGGACTTTCTAAGGGGAACTGACTTGTATATATGTTACACATGGGGGAAAAACCACGAAAATACCCAAGCAGCCAGCCTGTTTGCTGGGATTCGAACCCTGGATCGAACTACTAATATTCAGCAATTTTACTGCATGGCTGATAGTGGGCCCAATGTTTTAAGGGAAACTGGCCTCGTATTTATGCCCCACAAGAAGAAACTTTATATTCTGAGTAGATGATTACTTGTTAAAAGCTATTTTTAAATACTTCTGACTATGGAAGAAAGATTAAAATGATAATAAAAGAGAAGAGCTTTTTTTAGTGAAAATGACTTATATCGTATTTAGAGCTGGAAAAAATAGGGAACTTAGCATGAATGCTCCAAACACCACTACAGATCAATTAATAACAATAAAAAAGTGCCTAATTATGTATAGCAGTAGTACTCAAACTAAGGGTATTGACCCTATTTGGGGTCATGATAATTTACAGTGGGATATCAAGGAGAATAAAAATCCCCCAAAATCTGAAGTGGTATACAGGTATAACTAAGGGTCGACAACTGGGGTTGTGAAACTATTTTTTGAGGTCGATGGCATTTTTATGGAGTCGTACTGCCATAAAATTTGAATACCACTGGTACATAGCATAGCGCAGAAATAGAAAGGCTAAGAAGTATAAAATTTAACTAAAAGATTCTCCAAGGAAGGAGATTCCATGCACACCTCAAAGCAAATTTTCCAAAATTTAACTTATAATAATTTTTTTTTAATAATGTTAGAGTGACTTTTTATGGGTTTTTCATAAAAAATCTCACAGATTAATTACTGCAGAATTTAAAATCTGCAATATGGAATAAGTCTAGGAATAATTTTCTGAGTTTGATTAACTCCGAATCTAAAACATAGTCTACTGAATTTTGGCAAATTTTGAAACAATATCAATCCTTTTCGGTTATTTGATGACAACAAATGAATTTTTACTGCAATAACAAATGGCATACTTTTCTTGAATATGTCGTGTAATCCCAAATTTTGAACTCATATATTTATTTAAATTTCTTATAAATAACTTATATCTTTTGATTATTTAATTAAAGGGTGACCTTTGATTATTATATAGCTATGCAGAGAACAATATATGAATTTACTTTCTACCGGAATTACTGGTGTAAGTTTAGCAAGATCTTTACTAACTTTCACGGTTCCTGGGCAAATACTTAAGTCCCTCCCACAAAGAGATTGTACAGGTAAGGAAATAATAAAGACAACATAATAATAATGAAGTCTCCAGTTATATATTCTACTAAGTTTTTTGGTTTTGGAATTTGAGTTAAAAAAAGAGTTTTAGTTTTATGTCACAACAATGCTAGTTTTAATGTTGAAGAATAAACTATTTCAAAACTATAATATATGCATTTCTTGAATCTTCATTATTAGTGCCCCAATGAGCATTATATTTTTAACGTTCTATTTTAAGAACATTAAAATTAATTTTAATATACTTAAAACAGAAGTGAGGACTATTTATCCTTCCAAAACATTAAATAGTATGACTATCAACAATTACATTTTAAAACTTAAAATTAAACTCATCAAAGAAAACATGGGCCGGAATATTTAAAAGTGAAAATTTAAACACAGATTAAAAATAAAAACAAATATAAGATCTACCAGAAGCGAGGCTCTGCCCAATAATGTTATTTCAAGTTCTAGTGCTCATCTAAGACACATATGGCTGTCGCTCTTTATCATTGCATTCATATATACATGCATTTTACAGTAACTAAAGCAAAAGGACCCCATGTCATTATTAAGTGACAATGATTGTGTAAACATGACTACCTATAAAGCTAATTTAACACATATTTTGTATAAATTTCAACAAAAAAGAAATACTATAGAAGCATGACAAAATTTAAAGAAAGTTTTTTAATGCAGTTTCAGACAGAACATGCAGGAGATGGTTAAAAAATGATAATTTTAAGCCAAGACCAGGGTGGTCATCATTGATTGATGACATTAATATCAAGATAGTGCAATATCATTTTTTCTGACAACATTGGAGACTGCAGAAAAGCTTAACTTAGATCAACAATCATTTTGGACCATATTCAGAAACTAGGATTGGTTTATAAATACTATTCCCGACAGATGCCTCATGAGTTAAGTGAGAAAAATTTACATAATTGAGTGGTCATAGGCATATCTCTGCTTGCTATGGACAAAAACAAACCCTTCTTGGACTGAATGTTAACTGGTGATGAAACGTGGATTACTTATGAAAACATAGTTACAAAAAGAGCACACAGTAAGCTTGAATAACCAGCTCTCTCCTCTAAACTGAACTTCAGCATGCATGAGAGCATGCTATAAGGTGAGTATCCAAGAACCAAATTATAATGAACTTTTGAAATCTAATAAATATCTAATATGGAGAGTTACAGTATCAGCAAATGGATGATTTAAACAAGGCAGTCGAAGAAAAAGAGCCCAGCAATGCTCAATAGAAAGCACATCATACTGCATCAGGATAATGGCAAATCACATGCTGCTTTGGTAACTCATCAGAAAATCACACAGCTAGGCTGGGATATTCTGTCACATCCACCATACTCCCCAGACCTAGTACCCATCCATTACCATTTGTTTCTCTCCTTATAAAATGTTTTGAAAGGGGAAAAAAATCAAAATTGAAGCAGATGGCAGTAAAGCACTACTTGAGTTCTTTGCCTTCTAAGGACAAAATATTTTTCAAAAATGGCATTTATAAATCACCATCATGCTGGCAGGAGCTCATAAGTAACAATGGAAATGATATTGTATAACAAATATTCTTACAGATACAAAAAAGTATTTTTTTTTCACTTCCCAAACGGACAGAATTTTCCGGCAGACCTCATATATTTACAGTAGTTTAAACTATACTGTAGCTGCCTTTAATAAGTACAAAAGCAGCATAGGAAGGGAGCCCACCTCAACTGAAATTTTTAGTGGCTTCTAATCTAAGACAAAGGTTACATTTGCTATTTTTTAAAATAAATTTTTGATTTGGAGACTTCTTGAAATGTATGGCTCCATAAATCTGCCTTGGCTTTGGAGGGTATTATAAAATAACATAATCAGTAACAGCCTAAAAGCGGAAAGGTCAAAATGTTTTGGCCAAGTCCACCTCAACTGACGTTTTTCTGGGACTCTCTTCTATTAAGACATATGTTAAATTTGTTATTTATTTAAAATAAATTTTTGATTTACAGACCTCTTGAAATGTGTGGTTCCATAAATTTGCCTTTGCTTTGGTGTGGTGTATTTAATTATGGCAAAGCACACGAGGGCTATCTGCCTAAAGGGAGGGATGCCTTTCGTGGAGGACTTTCTAAGGGAAACTGGCTCGTATACACGTTACACATGGGGAAAACCACGAAAACGCCCATGCAGCCAGCCCGTTCGCGGGATTCGAACCTCAGACCGAACTACCAGTGTTCAGCGTCTTTACCGCTCGGCCGCTGGTGGGCCCCCTTTGCTTTGGAGGCTATTATAAAATAACATCATCAGTAAGAGCCTAAAAGCATCAGAAAATGTCCAAAAGTCGAAACAGGCCCAAAACATTTTGCCTAAATAAAAAAAATTATTAAATCGAGTTCGCCACTGGAAGAGAGGAAATTTCTCTTTTCAAATACTACAAGACGACAATTGGCGATTTAGGCGCAAGCTCCCCCAAATCCGACGCCAAATAGGATCGAATCAGCGACGACTCCGATACCATCTTTCCTTATAGATATCACGCAATCCCCTATTTCCGACTATCCCTTGTTAAATAGCGTACTTATTTTTAGACTGATGACATATATTGATTTTGCTGTAATAGCTGCAATGTTTCGTCTACTGCTTATTTTGATAGCTATCTAGACTGTAATATGCAGTATAATAGACCAAGATACTACGCTGATGGCGAAAGCTTGAAAATTATAATTGATATCACTAATTAGGAAGATTATATATTTAGCAGAAGCAGAATATGATATTACAAAAATACAATGGGTGGAGTGATCTGGGTCGTTTTAATCATTCAGATATATAAATGATTAGAGAATTATTACCATTATAAAAACCATTAATGCCATCATTATAAGAACACGTACGTAAAATAATAAACAAAAATACAATTAAACAATAAATACATGATTATTTTATTCACGAATATAATACAATAAAAATGAATTATTGTATGAACAATAACTTTTGGATTTTCATATATCGTATTCTTCCATTCTGTGCAGCACTTTTCTCATATATAAATATCGCTAAAAATTGGGGTGCATCTTAAAATTAATGAAGTGTTAGGATCGGCGATCTTTTTTGATTACTAATTGTTCCAAAAGTAATTAATTTTTTCTTAAACAGCTATGTGAATAAAAATAAAGCAAATTCGATTACTAAGAAAATATTTGCTAGATGTATTTTTGCATATTATTCCAATTATTTTATTTGTTTCAAATGAAATACTTTTTTTTTTTTTTTTTTTTTTTTTTTTTTCTGTTGTTGCAAGGAAATAAAA